CAGTAATTCTGGCAAAGGAGAATTGTAAGTCACACGTAAAGCCTCCATAACCTACAAGCCACATAAATAAAAAACTATATTAAACCCCCCAAAAAGACTACATTGCCTGTCTCCTCTCCCTCCCATTTATGCCTTTCCTCCCCAAACCAACAGACTTGTGGAAGATTTAGAAAATGTTCTCTCTTTGGACTTCTTTTGCATTTGCAGTTCATCCAGGCTCCGCTTGATTTAATGATAAATGATGCTCCATGCAAAAAGTAAAACATACAAGCAGTAATAAAGTTTGTAAGACACTTATATTCCTTGCACTTTCCTGAAAGCTGGTTTTCTTTTCTTTAGTTCTGAAGGGATGCTCTGTGTTTTTTTTTTTTCCATTTAGAATTAGTTTCAGTGTCATAAGAGTAATGAATATTTGCAATGTGAGATCATGAACTCATCGAGTGCAATGCAGAGGGTCAATCCAAAATATGTTGCATTTATATGGAGTTAGTTACAGAATACGCAGGAAAATGGCACCACCTCAAACATTTCCAATACTTGGACAAACACCTGTAAGGTAGACACATTCAACCATTCCTAAGGTATCAAAGTGACATAACCATCTCAGCTGTCATCCCTCCATCACCTCGCCTTCTCCACAAACATGTGTATCCCCCATAGAGATACCTTTCGACTTCCACACACATATACATTGGTATACAAAAAAAACCACCAAAACCAAACCAAAAAGGAGTTTACCAGGGAGCACTCATATTATCCCTCCTCCTTACTAGCAAGCAGGTCAACACTAGTTTTGCTATTATCTCCTGTGAAGGGCAAAGGTCTGCATCTGCCAGTCCTACAGCAATCACATTTGGGAAACAACTCAAGAAGCTTTGTGAGATCATGGTTCTCTGATAATAGCACAATGCATCCTATAATGCCGATAGCATGGCTATTGCTAACATGAACAAGAGCAGCCTCGTTATTGCTGTGTTTTAAGCTCCCACTGGGTTTCCAGATCTATGACGTCAAATTCCTTCCTCTCCTCCATTGTCTCAAAATGCCCAAAATTGTAACTGAAATACTCATCAGATATTGTGGATCTCAGAAATTTGAAAGGGTTCTTTGAGAATGTATTTGTTCACATGATTGCGTGGTAGTAAGGACAGGAGTTTATATAATATGGGTTGAACTGGGAACCACCGGAGTTATATTTGCACTGAATGGAAAGAGAAGGTGAGAAGAAAAAAGCATCCAGAACCGAGAGGGTTAGCTCATAGTTAAGGATCACTTCAGAAGACAGGATCATCAGGCCCCTAAACTATCATTTGCCAGGTGAGCAACACATCCTGGGTGTTTTCCTTGAGATCTTGTCATCCTGTCTTTACATCTTGTGTTTATAACCCTGAGCCTACAATTTAAAGTCTTGATACAAAGTCTTTTATTTACCAGAAATGAAAGCTGTTCCCTTCCTCACTGTTCAGAGTTTTTGCAATCAGTATTTATCAGAATAGGATATTTAATTGGTATCTAGAGGTCTGAAACTACTTTTACCCTACAGCCTGTTTCCCTAGAGCCAGCCAAAGTTTGGAACTAAATAAGGATTTACTATTCTAATTTTAAGCAACCATTTTTGAAAATGCTGAGCTTCTGTGTAGAATGTGTACAACTGTCAAGTGAGCAGTATATTAAATACTACAGGTGAGCGGTAATCAATTAAAATACAGTCATCTGGGTTTCTTACTGCTTTGCAAAGCATCATTCTAATCCATTATTGGGAAAATATAATTCCCATACAACTAGCTTAATTATAAATATGAAAACACCCTGAATTAACCTTATATATAATAGCCTTCATAAAATTAGGATATATGACCTGTTCCTCATAAAAACTTTCCTGCACCTTACCCTGGAAGGACTAGTTTTCTGCAAAAAAATCCTGAAAACCAAGCAGCTTTTAGAATTACAATAGAAATGTCCATGTAAGCTCAGGTTAACAGTTGAAAAACAAATCAGGTAACAAAACTGTGATATCTCAATTTCATCAATGATGTATTTTCCATAAGCACTAGCATTTGCTTAAAAACGTGATTAAAATAGAAAAGCTCTTCATAATATGCATAAAATAGCCATACTTAAAGGACCTTAGCTTTTTATGCACATGCTTCTTCCAGGTAAGTGTTCAATACATCCATATGCGGAAGGCTAAGTTATAAAACAGGGAATTGATTTCATCTTTAAGTCAGTTACTGGACTGAAAACCATTATCACATAAAGACCAGTTTGGGAACTCTAAGATTTTGGTTTCAGTCTATACGTAGAGACACACTCCTGCCTGCAACGAGAAACAGAACTTAGACTAGGAGGTGATATGACATGGAGCTGAAGGGCATGTTTAGTCCCTGTCCTCCTTCGCAATGGGTCGTGAACTATTAATAATGTCACATGAAGGAAATACTTCTGTCTGCTGTGATGTTTATCTGCAAGTTTGTCTTAGGAAGCAAAAAGTCAAGACCCCACTTCTCAGATGTTATGACTTGCTGTGCTCTAAAGGAGCAGGTCAAGAGTGACAGCCCCTTAATTTGTGTATTATTTGAGAATATCATATTTCAAAAGAAATATGCACATACAGCAACCCTGTATGGCACACTTGTTTTTACAGTTTATAATCAGACGTTAATGTATCCCTGATGGGCACTGTTTCCAAGTTGAATATTTGGTTGGAAGTCAATCTCTTATTGATTATTGCACATCTATCTGAACTGTGGATAATAAAAAACTCAATTAACTGTGTGGGCTTGAAGAAGTGAGCAGATCAAATCTTAGAAGAAGCTTTGATTGGAAAGCTCTCTTCCTCTGCTAATACTTCCTCTAGGAGGAGAGCAGGTACACGGCAATTGGCTGGAAAAGCCAGAGGAAGGAGCTGGCTCTGCATGTGTTGGCTGCTGAGATGACTGGTGGTGTGCATGGAGGTGGGCACGCTCTGCAGTCTGAGGGAGCCAAGTTCCCCTGAGGGAAACTTGCACAATGGAAATAGGTGCAAGCATAGGAGAGATGGTCAACGCTTGGAAAGTCCTCTTTCAGCAACTAAACTCACAGTTTCAGATGCCTGGACTATCCCTAGAAAGTGGATCAGATTCAGATCAGAGGAGAGGGGTAAGCTCACATGCAGGAATCACATGTGGTCTTCTTTCAGCCAAAGCAATGGTGGCAGTTGTTTCTCAGCATTGTTAGAGAACAGAAATTATGTCCATGAAAACAGATAGTACCTGCTAGCTCTTTCCCAAAACGCAGAAAAGGAAAATTCACATTTGATTATTTAATAAAAAAGGAAAACACCAACTACAGATGACATTCTTGTAAAGCTCAAACAGAACAGATTTGTGAATTCGCCTGGACCCTTCAGCATTAAGTGTGCATTTTTGTGTGCGATGGAGAAGGGATAGTGTGGAAAAGCTCACTCTCCCTCTCACATACACATGCAAATTTGGTATCAATACAGTAGTAGAACTAAATAAAGAAAAAATGATTCATAGGGAGGTTTTCAATTAAATGATGTTGCAGAAGCCAGCAAGTTTTTCAGTAGTGCAGAGGAACTTATGTTCAACAAAAGGCAAATATTTATCCTGAGGCAGGGAGGAAGGGTTTCAGCTAATGCTGAAGGATCAGATATATTCGGCTGA